TCTGGGTAGGAGGGATATTGTGTAAGAGTTAAGATTGAGGAATAGGGGGATTTGAGTTGAGTCTGTGGTTTAGATTAGGAGATTGGAGAGTGTTTGGATGTAGGTGTTTGATCTTGGGATGTTATTCATGCTTTCATCGAGGCTTGTTTGTGTGTCCAGAGTAATAATAATCTTAGGTCATCAAGATTTTTCCGGGGAAGCTGGAGAAGAAGATAGCAAAACTCGCTTGTATTTGTCACTTTGTTGCATATCTGAAGGTCTTGGTATTAGCTCTCTACGTATCTGTTAAGCTAATGTATCTAGATGTAGATATTAGATTAGCGATTCGGGTTCTGGTTGACGATGCATGGTTCGAATAACTGTACAGATGTCGACGGATTCGAGGCGCATATTGCGGTTCTTCGGATACTATAGCGGTGCAGATGGCGCATGCATGAAGAAAATCGGTAAAGGAAATCGTGGACGGTTTGATGCCGCTGTTGCCGATCGAATCAAAGGGATTGGGTAATGCAGGTTGTATGCAGGTTGATCGAAACGGAGAAATATATTTCATGGGTAGTGAGTCAGGATGCCTTGGGTGTGGAGTACCGGTAGAGGATTGTAGGATTTTGGAACTATCGTGAATGATCTTGTCAAATCTTTGAAAAATTTGATTCAAAGTTGGTTGATTATCAAACATATGATGTATGTGGCAAAAGTATACGATTTTGACTGTAGAGAATAAAGTTTGATGTACTCCACAGGGTCAATGGCGATTCAACGCCGATATACTCCGTTTGGCACGCAAGCTAAGAAAATGCTAATCGAAAAATCGAACAATCGAACACTTGTGGCTACATCTTTGGTGTGGTGGCTAGTGGCGCATGGAGTAAATATGGATGGCCTCGTAGCGTGGCATGAGTCAGGGTGGCTGAATGGTTCATAATCCACTCAGTCGTATGAAGGAGAAATGTTCGTGATTTCAAGCATCAGATAGTTAAAGGTTGTTTCTGAATTGCTTCATCATAGAAGCAATGTTTCGAATGTAGCTGAGTCGAGGATATGAGAGAGAAGAACAGATGTTCTTTGGTTCTTTGGTCTAATCACACCGGTACTCAGAAGACTCAGAAGTTGCGAGATATTTGGTAGAGAGCTCGAGGTAGATTATACGAAGTCCCCAGTAGTGTGATGCCATTGATGAGAGATAAGGCGGGATCGCTTTTCCTGGTAACCTTCACTTCGGGGTTTAGGGCCTCTTTTTGGAAAAGGGTACCAACATCCATGGATATGTCAAGAAATACCGTAACAATACTTTCCCGAGGCTTGACATCGCTTGTTTAGATAGATGGATGGATGGTACGAGGAGGAGCAGTCGATGGTAATATAGTACGGTATATACGAGAGAGAGTCGGGTATGTATGTAATCAATAATAGCTAATTCGGAACTCGATATAATAAGCAAGGCATTTTCTGGAATCTGGTCTTTTTGTCCAATCATGTGCCGTAATCCGGCTTTTCTACCAATGCTTGATAGATGGAATTGGCGATTCAGTTCTACGCCATGAACTTTCTCTGAGATACTCTGCCGGTAGTATGAGAGATGATCATCTTGTGCCAACCACCAATATATGATGATCGGTACTGTAATTTAAAGTCATTATTAGAATCCGTATGAGTGATTAATAGGTTCCAGATAAAAAGTGTATGAAGAATACTCTAGACCGGATAATGATATAGGGATGCAAGCATGATGTATTGATATATATCAATCTTTCCATGTCAAGGTATTTCCTTGAGCTTTTTGACTTTATGGAGAGGAAGTGAGGCGAATTCATGGGAGTGGAGAAAGACAGAGAGAGAGGAGTCAAGGAGACTTGGTCGTACATGGAGAGTGCGGAAGTAAGAGGGTGATGTGTGTCTTTAGTATAGAGGCTAGTGCTTTATAAGGCTAGCTCGGCTAGCCACTCGCTAGCACATGCTTTCAATCACGGAAAGGTGGATCTAGGGGACTCTTTAGATGATGGTTAGATTCACGACGGTGTTGAATTATGAATCAGACTAATTATCCATCCATGCGTCAAGTCAGTCAAGTGAAATGATATGTGTGATATGGAGATGATGGCATACGATGTACATTCATCGTACATACCTGGCTTCGTACATTGAACTCTGAATGGAGCCAAGCCCAGGTCTTGTTAGTTCACAGTCATGTGTAAGGTATTTATGGTATTTATTGTATTTATTGTATTTGTTATATATTTATAATCGTATTGATATATATATTGTATATAGTATATAGTATCTACATGTATATATACATATATATTCCATCCAACATCTTTCATTATTCCCCCTCAATCATCACATTCCATACCACTTCATCACAACTCCCAAACCGACGAAACAAATCCATCTCCTTTCATCCCCCATCAAGGAATGAGAAGTCGACAACAAACAGCTGCATTAAAGGATAATCCGACTATCGAAATCAAACCCCAATAACCCGATACCGCCTCGACTCCCGCCTCCAGATAAGACTTTTTTAGTACACTCCCAGTCACAGTCACAGTCACCAGTACCAATACTTACGGCAGATTACGTTCTCGTCTCCGGTCCTCGTCACAAGACACCCAATCGCATTGTCACCAAGAACCTTCGATTACTTTCTTCTTACGAATACAAGTACAACGAATACAACCAAGACAACGAATCTTCTTTTTCTTAATCATTTTCCAATTCCATTCAACAATTTCCTTTCTCCATTCATCAATCATCACAACTCTTTCATTTCTTCATTAATCTCATTGATAATATCCAAGTCCTCTTCAATCAACATACATACCATTAATCATCCATCATGTATACTCCTTCAAGCGCCACTTCATCCAGGTCCGCCTCTCCAGAACTACAATCGGAATCAATGCAAATCTTTGTTAAAGTCTTGTCCGGCGACAGTATGTTTATTCCCAAATCCATTCATTTTTAAAGTTCCCAACTAACTCGCTATTTAGCCATACCCATAACTGTTCCCGAAGATACCACCATCTCGAACCTCGCCCATCTCCTCTCTATCCGCACATCCTCGCCATCGTCATCACTTCGTCTCGTACACGCTGGAAGACATTTACAGCCATCTTCGACTCTCACCTCGAATAACATTACTCGAGACTCGACAATCCACGTTGCAGGGACACTAAGAGGCGGTATGCCACCCAAGAAGATTAAGTGTAATTACAAGGACTGCGGGGTGGCAGCACAAAGAATTGTAGGACACTGTGGTTTCTGTGAAGGCGAATTCTGTGGGAAGCACAGAATGTTGGAGGATCACAAGTGTGTGAAATTAGAAGACGTGAGTTGCCCTACTTCCGATGATGTATCTCTTGAATCTAGAACCGGGGAATCTGTTCTCAAAGGGGTATTTGATGAACCTAGAATGGGAGAACAGATTCAATGGTGGCAAGTTGGATTAGGAGATGTGCTTTCAGAAATCATGTGCGAAGATGGAATTGTGGCTGACTCATTTCATTACAGTGCAAGAAGGAATGTCATGACCGAAATGCAGCTCAACTAAATGCCGAGCGAACCCAAGTCATCAAGGGTATCTAGGCACCTCATTCTCTCCCGAGAAACGCATCCCGCCCGAGATTATGTACGGAGGGACAAGAGACATACCTGCTCGATCGTCATTTCGACCATCGAACTCTACTTTACATGGAATCCATGTCAGTAATCTAGGTTTCCCCAAAGTCGCTTTTAGCCACCAGCGATAATACATCTCGGGTTGAGATCACCTCTATTCACCCGCTCAACATACCAATTCTCTTCCTTTATATTATGGTTTTTAGCGGGCGTAAGGAATTAGCATATTTAACATCTTCGCTTCCATTCCATCAATTGTGTTTTCAAGTCCATCTATCTCTATTTCCTAGTGGCTATTGGGAGTTTCGATGGGTTTGATGCAATTAAAGGGGTGGCTGGCTTTAGGTGTATGGGTGGTAATATAGTTGAGGTTATCTTTCATGGGAGAGATAGGGTCGATTTGTTATAGTTTTTCAAATCAAATTACATATCCGCTTTTTTACAATTTAGCATTTTGAATTTTTGCTGAATGTTTCTGTCTTGTCGTGGTGGCCTTGCTAGTTGGCCTTGACCCCTGTGAATGATGTATTGCGGCTTTGGAACTTTGCGTGAGTACATGATCTCTATTCAAAGAATAGTGTGCTAGTATTATATCTTTAATCCCTGATTGTGATTTTACCTTTTTCAATATTATTTCTCATTTACATTTGTATTCTCTTCGATTTTTTTCTTCTTCGCAATTATGATTTTATCATGACGGCTCCTTTTAAGGTTTACATGGTGACGTCAATGTTAAGGGAAGGGGCTAGGAATTTGTCACTTGTAGTCATGTCCGATAAGTGAGAAGTCTCTTTTTCCTTTTTTTTCCCCCCTTTTTTTCTCAATTACATAAAGTCTCGGGAATGTAACCTTACAATACCTAAGGAAAGTTGTTCGGTAGTTTCTATTTCCTAGTCGATTTAGTGTAAGTTTGCACGCGCTAGTAAGTTGACTCGCTAGTAGGTTGACTCGTTTTATCCTCCTGGCGCGAGTGCTTGCATTGTTGAATTGGATTTGAAGGAAATTTCTCTCTGCGGATGTATTGTCTGTGTGTGGGTTATGTGTATGTGGGTTTGTATGTGGGTTAGGTGGAGTAGGGAACTAGGGAGTTTGGGAATTGGGAGATTGGGAGATTGGAGAATTTCTGTTGTGGTATGAATTGTGTAATTGTTGATCGATTGATGAGTGAGGGTTGATAAGGGTTGCTGGGAGTTGGTGGTTTACAGAAGGGGGAAGGGCTGGTTTGGGGTAGCGATGAGATGAGTTGGATAAGATAAGGTATATGAGATGAGATGAGCTGAGATGAGTTAGATTTGCTCTCTTGGGGAGGGTGGTAACTGCTTTAAGCTCCGACTACGATTCTTTATCCCCTCGACTATCTTCCCACCTCGAAGAAAGTTCAAATGGACTTCATCGATTCGTTTGTACGGGATCTCGAGGGACTTCATGGTGTTAGCAAACCCGAAATATCTTTGGCGGAAATGTGGCGCAATAGTTCTCCACAATCTGACGCAAACATAGAACTATCTGACTATCTGGAAACTGTGAGCTGCATGTTATGAGTTCTATGTACTATACTGATCTGATCAGGCTGGAACGCTACCGTATTACAAGGACGCATGTGCGAAACTAGACGAGTTCGTCGAAGGGTACAAGAAGAAATTTCATAAGACGCCGTTTTTTCATCAGGCTTTGCGCTGAAGATGGTATGCACTCATACTTTTACTTTCACTTTCATATCCTCTTCATATTCATATACACGAACTGGGTCCGATGTAGAAAGCAGGGAACAAGCCAATAAGACCACGCCAGAGACACGCGACGAAGGATGGGAGCGCATCTATACATACAGGAAGTGGCTTCTCGCCAACGTGTTCAAAGATGGAACTATAGTAGTTCTTCCAATGACAAAGGCAAACCCAATAACCGAGAGAATCCACCACCGTAAGCTCCCTCGTATAGATTGTTGTTTTGGTCTCTGATCTAATGGCGCTCAGTCCCTTCGCACTATTAAGTGGTTATTCTCCTCTCTATCTATCGCCGATCGCTGGTACTCCTGAGGTTACTGCTCCGAGTAAGTAATATATATTAGGGCTTAGTAATTGTAGATTCTTATTGTTATTTAGTTGGTGAAATCACATATTCTTCACAGACGACACAGCGAGAGGAACCGCTTCAGATTAGCGTTTTGGTTGTGTCTTGTCCAGGTTGGTGCTCTCGTGAATTTCCCCAAGCTTATTAGTAGTTAATGTTTGTATGCAGGTACGGATCTTGATTTCATTGATCTTGTGCATGAGGCTTTGAAGACAGGAGGAAAACCTATACATGTTGCTGTCGGTAGGTCGATTTTGGGGTACTCATCTCGAGATAGTACTGGGGTTTGATTTGTGCGCAAATTGGGGTTTACTATATTGTAGCCAATTGTAGCCTGTCAATAATTCTCGGTTTTCTATATAGGGAAGTATCCTATGCGTGTAGTTATGTGACTCGTCTTGAAGCTTTGCAACACTTTTTCGGTCTCATTATCGGATTGATTGACGATGTTTGAATCCCTCCTCGTCTTGAATCTGTTGTTTTATTGATATAGTTTGTTCCAAGTCTCTAAGACCCCGACTAATTCAGTATCGAGAAGTTTCGTGCAGTGGAATTCTCGGTAATTGCATTCGCAATCAAACTTGTGGGATCTTTTCTGAGTTCTGTGACTGCTGCTACCGCTACGCGCCAGTCTTTCATATCTTCTGGTATGGATGGTGTCTTTCTCTCAAGTTTCTTAGACTGATGGAACTTTCATGTATTCGGATTTTACGGTTGCTTTTACTTTATATCTCTAGCATGGATTGAAAAAATGTATCTCCACTTCTAATAGTCGTGAGATCATTCCAGGCCGGATACATGCGGAATGAGGTTGGCGACTAGGCTAGGTACCTAGCCATAGTGAATTATTCGAAACTTTCGATATATGAGATCACCTAACAACCGATTTCCTGAAATTCTGTTGACTATGCTACTCTTCTTTTTTCATCTCCTATATATTAATTAGTCACATCATCGGGTTTTAAAAAGAGAATATTGCTAGGCCTCATGCTTCCAATATGGTTGAAGCTCCCGAATCCTCTAAACCGAATCAACAGCTTTCAGGTAGTTTCCTTTCCAAGCTATGCTTCGACATTCGTAGATCAATTTACGAGCAACTAATCCTGGATCTCGGGCCAATTTTGCACATCGCAGTGACAGATGTACGACCAGGGAGACAGAATCCAAAGCATTTTAAGCAAGTACTTCAGCCTTGTATTGCTGGACTAGAAGGCCATGTTGGTCTTGAACATTGGGGCGGCTGGGAACCTGCACACACAAAGTGCATATATTCTTTTAGCTGGGGAGTAGGTGGCTCCAGTGATCAAGCGGGGATAGTGAGAGCGGTATATCAATCATGGAGGAAATCGGCGCCTAAACCATGGAATCTGATTTCGCTTCTATTGAGTTGCAAGTATATGTAAGTGATATGCCGATATCGTGAACTGGTAGGATAGTTTGGCTAATGACAAGTGTGTCTAGAAATGCTGAATTTATTGATGTTATTTACACCTTTGCAACTTTTGATCTGATTGGGCTTCAATGCGCGACTCGCTTCCTGACAGAGGTTCCACAGGAGCAACTTCATCAAATTCGATCTCTCCGCATTTCCCACAAGATAGAGCATCCGATTTACACATGTTTTCACTATGAGCCCAAGGACTCTCCCGCCTTCAAAAGGCAACAAGAGAAAGATCAAGAACTTGCAAGATGGCAAGCTAAACATTTGGTTTACATTGGCGACGTACTCTCAAGAACGAAAGGGTTGAAGGATCTACATGTCACCTTCTACGATGTTACAGGTCGCCGTTTGGAGATGTCCCTCCTGTACCCTTTGGCGTGGATCGAGAATGTTGAGAATTTCCAGGTGGATTTGCCATGGGCATTGGAACGTGCTATTAACCCTTACAATAAGAACGCAACGCTGCCATTTAACATTCGAAGGCCATCACTAGAGGAAGAGCCTGCAATTGAAGCAGTTTTCGATTTGCGGAAGTTTGAATTATTGATGTTCAAGTTAGGGCGCTTCTTAAGACATCCATATCGTACGCTTCGATGAGATCGAATGGGAAACATCTAGGTTCCATAACGACATTTGCGATTGTGGGACCATGTCAGAGATTCAAGCTTCTCTTATCTTCCTGGCCGTTGACATGTTGGCCAAAAGCATGTTTTGTAATGATCGATTGCATATCTGGAAATGGGACATGAAGCAATTACTTTACTATCTGGGAACTTGCGAAGATTCAAAGCTCCTTCTGTACATATCTGCGAATATATTCTTATATGCAAACTTTGTATGCCAGTAACCCTAGTCGCTGACCTCACAATGTCAGCGTAGAGTGGTAATTACCTATCATACAGTATCAATTTCTAGACTCCAATCCCCCCCCCCGATGAGTCATCCAGGCTGGTATAATAGTTTAATGAGAGGAAGCCCGTCGATGCAAGATAATTGATGTCCAAAGCAAATTCTACTTTTTATTCCCTCATTATCTATCCTTCTTTTCTGCGATTGCAGCATTGGTCATTGTATAACATGGTATTAGAGCAACAACAATGAATGAAAATAATCACATTCGTGAGTTCACCATGGATAACAGCGGACAAGATCCTTTAAAGATTCCCGGACATGGTGATATATCTTTATTCGGCGAACTACCCAAAAGTTCGCGATTTCACCAAAGATCAGATGATTGGGAAGAAGGGTGGGGTACAGAAGCCTCGTCTGACAGCTCGAGAGCTGGCCATGATAGGTCTCACCAATTTCTTGACCGATATGCCTAACTGGTACATAGGTGTTTTCAACGACAGAGAAACGGCAATGTGGCACAAAATGGTTGTGAAAAACAAATTGATAAGTGAGAAAGCTTGGGGGTGGTGTTTAGCTGAGTTGAGAGACAAGGCGAGGTTGTTTCGTGCTACAAATCGTGTTCTTGCTTTGGATGCCGGAGCTTGTGTTTTCATATCTGATGTTGCAGTACCTAAAACGCTAACGAAAGAGTTGTCCACTGCAAGTCTTCGTGCAAGTTGGAAGTATCGAATTGCATGAATGAGATAAACCATTTCCAGGAAGTGATTGGGATATTGATGGAACACTGAGTGAACGTATTGCTGCTACATCTATACATTCCTAAGATGTACAGAGCGGATATGCAAATTTCTTTTCGACAGAAAACTCATTTTAGTGAATCAGCATACCATCGTTCGGAATATGATCTTTTTGCGAAGACTTTTGGTATTAAGGATGATGGGTATTATGACGATGAAGGTTTTCATTTTGCTCCTGCTACTCAGGATTTGGGCTCAATAGCCGTGAAGGACGGTCGGTTATTGAGTTGGTCCAATGCGTTTCAATACAAATCGAACCGTGTACGAGAAGCAGTCTTACAGAACCGGGAAATGCGAAATTTATCAAACTTAGTATCGAATTTGTTCGACCCAAAACGTGCCGCCGCAAAGACATAATTGGTGGGCTAATGAAGTCTTTGGGAAGGAGAATTTATGAAGAAAATTGCCAGCGGAGCTGTTAAACATGATCGATAAAGATGTGGATGAATGGCCGATAGGGAGAGATGAGGTTAAGGAGGATCGGGATAATCTACTTGGGTAACATCGCTCGGCGAAGGAAGCCGAGTTTCATTTGACGGAGGTTTGGTATGGGTGTGTCGTAGTGATTGTCATACGACGGAGTATTGTCGATATCATTGAGCGAGATAGATTGACATTCAGATATATTTGAGATGGATATTGTCTGCAAAGCAGCGTTTTAATTTCTGTTGCATTCAGAGGTTTGTATAAAACCACATTAGAAACATTGAAATGGTAATTTTAACTTGCTGTTTCTTTGATACTATAAACACGAACTCATGGCTAACACCAAATACTAGTTCTTCTCTTTCAATGTTCTTCCCATTCAGCAGCCTTCCTCTAACAAGCTGCAGATAACATCGGATACACAAGAGAGTCTAAAAGTTTAACCAAGGCAACGAATATAGCTCCCGCGCACACAACCATTGAATCACATATAATTCCCTCAACAATGTTCCACTTGGAAATCTAGACACGGACTTAAGGCTGTCCATAAGAACCTAAAACTACCAGGTCGTGCATGTGGGGAGAATCCCCTATGCATAATTATCTCGGAATGTCCGCAAAGCACAATTGACTATTTAGACAATCAATGATGTCAGGAATGTGCTCTACAATCAGCCGAACTTGGCAGCATCTCTTTTTAAATCGATAATAGCTGCTGGGGGAGGTAGGTGCAACAGGAAACACTCGCTTCCATTGACGAAAGATAATTTTTCTACTTTTCGAGCTCGACGGATCAATAAGTACGGCATTTATTGTATTCCAAATGATGTTTGTCGATCCGAGTTAAACTAATCGATCATAGCATTATTGGAAGTCAATTCTTGCTTTTAGATGGACTGATTGACCAAAACCCTTTATTTATCGTTCAAAGGGTCCAAGAGCTATATCCAATTGGCTGATGTCGATTTCGATATCAACCACAGATCCACAATTATCTCCAAGCTAAGAGACCTCGGCATCGGTAAACAATTCCATCCCTCCTTATTACCCCAAATCTCATAAAACATGAAGTGCATAATCTTCTTCATCGGAAACTTGTCTTCCTTACATCTCCATATCATTTTCACATCTAGACTCTTCTATCCCCGATTATCAACAAAGCTGACGCTAGCTATTGTCCGAAACGGAAAGCTCCATTCAAGATAGCGCGGGGATTGCTAAACTCCATTCCTCGCTAGCAACGCTATCGACATCATCGTTTTTACTAGTTTGAGGATTCTCGTGTTCCTCCAAAGAAAGTTTTGTTTACTTGCGGTCTAAAACCATCTTTGATTGGTGCCCTTTGCGGATTTAAAATAGTTTCACTTCGTCCAGATTCTTTGAGTTGGATTCTTCGGCCGAAATAGAGTTTGGAAAAAAGTGGAGTTCACTACATCACATACATCACATATCATACCAAGACGCAGCAACCTGGATTAGATCATTAAATACATACCATGTCTACACCCACAAAGAGTCCTGCTTCCGTAGCAACAGACAGAATCCTCTCTCTTAAAAATCACTTGAAAGACTCTTTGAATCCATCCGACGACTTACACAAAGCAAAAACAATGGCATCTTCATATAAATTTGAAGGATGGATGGCGTTGGATAAGGAGGCTGCTAAGGGGAAAATGGTATGGCAAGAATTCGAGCCAAAGACTTGGACGGAGGATGATGTCGATATCAAGATTGCCTACTGCGGTATCTGTGGGTCTGATCTTCATACATTGAGATCTGGATGGGTATGTACTTCTTTTCTTGGAATATGGAAGTGAGGAATAACGATTTGGCTATAGGGCGCGACAAATTACCCAGCTTGCGTAGGACATGAGCTAGCTGGTACTGCTGTGAAAGTGGGGAAAAACGTAAAGCACATCAAGCTTGGTGATCGATGCGGTGTTGGTGCACAATCAAGTGCTTGTCTGAAGCCTGAGTGCGAGGAATGTGCAAGTGGAATGGAGAACCATTGCACAAAAATGGTTGGAACTTATAACGGAGTTTATCCCGATGGTTCCAAGTCATACGGTGGTTATGCAGATTACTGCCGTGCTCCATCGCATTTTGTTGTCAAGATTCCCGATGGACTTTCTCTTGCCGAAGCAGCTCCTATGTTGTGCGGAGGTGTTACAACCTGGTCACCCCTTGTCAACAACGGAGCTGGGCCTGACAAGCGAGTCGGAATAGTTGGTATCGGAGGCTTGGGTCATTTTGGTCTTCTATGGGCCAAGGGTCTCGGCTGCAAAGAGGTTGTTGCAATCTCCCGATCAAGCGGAAAGAAAGCCGATGCAGAGAAGATGGGTGCCACCAAGTTCATTGCTACAGACGAAGACGAAAATTGGGCCAAGAAGAACGCTAGATCTCTTGACTTGATCGTCTGCACCGTCTCTAGCCCAAAAATGCCAATCGCTGGATATCTTTCATTGCTAAAAACCAAGGGTGAATTCATTCAGGTTGGAGCTCCAGAGGATGTCATTCCAGCTTTGAATATGTTCGCCTTCATTGGAAAGGGAGTAAAGCTTGGAGGTAGTGCAATCGGTACACCAAAAGACATTAGTGAGATGTTGGAGTTTGCTGCCAAAAACAATATCCATCCTTTTATCCAGGAGAGACCATTATCAGAGGCAAACCAAGCTGTTGTCGATATGGAGAATGGAAAAGCTCGTTACCGCTATGTCTTGGTGAACGAGAAGCATGCAAAGGAGTTGAAGCAATGAGCAATTTTGATGATATGTATAAATATGTATGAATGTATATACGTGTATATAAAGAATAATTGAAATAATACACCGGCAAGAGACAAACAGTATCTATGCGAATAAGAAGTTTTGTATAATCTCAATTTAAGAATAACAAATGTGCACAAAGAACAATGAAATGATAAGTATGGAAGAGGAGAGGGTTAGTCATAAACACCAGAAGTTAATCCAGAGTCCGTCCAATAAATGTCAAAGGCTCGATACTTCAACAACTATCAAACGTTCAAGCAACTGAATAAGCTCCAATAACTAAGCAAGCTTGTTCCTACAATTCAACCCAATCCTGAACTTTAGAAAATCATGAACGAGATTGATCGTTTCTCATCCCCATTTGAGGTCAACAACTCAAGATATCAAACACCATCATGTCAAGATACCTAGATATTGAGACTGTGCAAGTAACAGAGCTTCTAAGATTGAAGAATAACAGAGCTTATAAGATTGAAGAATAAAAATTTGAAAGAGATCAACTTGTAGTGCTCTTTAGAATAAGACGTTCAGTTCTGGAACCTCTTAAGCAATCACTGGACAAGTGGTGAATGTATTCAAAGGCTCGCAAGAGGATAATGTAAAGGGGTGTTCTTCGGCTCGGCTATTAGTTTTTCCGAGCCCCACGCTAGTCTCAAAAAGCTAAGCTTGATTTGCAATTCTACGGCTTACACTTTTGCTTGTATGCTCTGGGCAACTTGAAAGGCTTCCTCCAGCTCGAATTATTTCTGTACCTTCATTAATCTCACCTTGAATTCTGAAACTTGAGCCTCAACATCAACAAAACTATTATCATCGTGCCAGTTTCCAAATTTCTTCAAATAATTTTTGTATGATCTTTATGCCATTGTTTCTTTGTTCTTGAGGTCCTTTTTGGTCCTGGGGACGCGCCAATCTTTTGTTTGAGGCGACAGCTCTCAACTTTGCCTTTGCGACAATTCCAACTACAACTCCGCATTCCATCAAATCTCCGACCTCAACTCGACTCGCATACAGATAGTAGAGTTCAAATTAATACACCATGGCTGATTACGAAGAGGGATACGAATATGATGATTATGGAGAGGAGGATGCAGGTATCACGGCAGAGGACTGCTGGACGGTTATTTCTTCCTTCTTCGAAGCAAAAGGTCTAGTTTCGCAGCAACTCGACTCTTTCGATGAATTCGTCCAAACCACTATGCAAGAGCTTGTCGAAGAGAATTCACAACTCACGCTTGACCAAAACAATCCACCTTCGTCCCACGATAATCCTATTGCACTCCGTCGATATGAAATCAAGTTCGGCACCATCATGCTTTCTCGACCGGCTATGACCGAAGGTGATGGAAGCACACAAGTTATGTTACCACAAGAAGCTCGTTTGCGAAATCTTACGTATTCAAGTCCTCTTTACATAGAGATGACGAAGAGTACTCAAGTCGCTGTAGAGCGCCCTGTTCCTCTCAACGAGCTTGATGACGAACAAGAAGCAGAGTTGGTGAATGGCGGAGAACATCCTACACGATTGGTCTGGGAATATGAGGATGGTGACCCAGAAGGCCCTAAAGGTGCTCCACTTCCAGAACAAGTTTATATCGGAAAATTGCCTATGATGTTGAAGTCGGAATTTTGTATATTGAAGGGTCTCGACGAAGACGAACTCTATGGATGGAACGAATGCCCTTACGATCAAGGAGGATATTTCATTATCAACGGAAGTGAGAAGGTTCTGATCGCCCAAGAGCGTAGTGCCGCCAACATTGTTCAAGTCTTCAAGAAGCCAGCGAACAGTGCAGTGTCATACTTGGCTGAAATTCGAAGTGCTTTGGAGAAGGGTTCGCGTCTTATCTCTTCATTGCAAATCAAATTATACGACAAAGGTGACAGCAACCGAGGAGGTTTTGGTAAAACTGTCAAGTCAACTTTACCATATATCAAAGCAGACATCCCTATAGCCATCGTCTTTCGTGCACTTGGTGTTGTATCTGATGAAGATATTTTGAACCACATTTGTTACGATCGAAATGATACTCAAATGCTCGAGATGTTGAAGCCATGTATTGAGGAAGCTTTCGTCATCCAAGATCGTGAAGTTGCCCTCGATTTCATCGGAAAGCGTGGTAACGGTACATCTTTGACTCGTGATAAGCGTATCAAATACGCCCGTGACATCATGCAGAAGGAGCTGCTTCCTCATATCTCTCAAAAGGAAGGTAGCGAAACCCGAAAAGCGTTCTTCTTGGGTTACATGGTTCATAAGTTACTTCAATGCGCTCTTGGTCGTCGGGAGACTGATGATCGAGATCATTTCGGAAAGAAGCGTTTGGATTTGGCTGGACCTTTACTTGCAAAGTTGTTCAGAAATCTGTTCCGTAGATTGACAACGGATGTGTACAGATACTTGCAACGTTGCGTGGAAAACAACCGAGAGTTTAATTTAACTTTGGGTGTGAAATCCACAACAATCACGAACGGTCTGAAATATTCTTTGGCCACAGGTAACTGGGGTGACCAGAAGAAGGCAGCAAGTTCTACAGCTGGTGTGTCTCAAGTGTTGAACAGATATACTTTTGCTTCAACGCTTTCTCATTTGCGCCGAACCAATACACCCATCGGACGTGATGGAAAGATCGCCAAACCTAGACAACTGCATAATACTCATTGGGGCTTGGTCTGCCCTGCAGAGACGCCCGAAGGTCAAGCTTGTGGTTTGGTTAAGAATTTGGCTTTGATGTGTTACGTTACAGTTGGTACGCCAAGTGATCCAATCGTCGAGTTCATGATTCAAAGAAACATGGAAGTGTTGGAGGAGTACGAACCACTCCGAGCACCCAATGCAACAAAGGTTTTCGTCAATGGTGTTTGGGTTGGTATTCATCGAGATCCTGCTCATTTGGTCAAATGTGTCCAAGATCTTCGTAGATCACACTTGATCTCTCATGAAGTTTCACTTATTCGGGAAATTCGTGACAGAGAGTTCAAGATTTTCACCGATGCAGGACGAGTGTGCAGACCTTTATTGGTTATTGACAATGATCCTGACAGCACCAACAAAGGTAACTTGGTATTGAATAAGGACCACATTCACCGTCTGGAGGAAGATCAGGCGCTGCCAGCCAACATGGATAAGGATGATAAAGTAAGACAAGGATACTATGGATTCCAAGGTTTGATTAATGATGGTGTGGTTGAGTATCTGGACGCCGAGGAAGAAGAGACCGTCATGATTACCATGACACCTGAAGATCTGGACATCTCTCGACAACTTCAGGCTGGTTATCAAATTCGTCCCGATGAAAGTGGTGATTTGAACAAGCGTGTCAAGGCACCTATCAATCCAACTGCCCATGTCTGGACTCATTGTGAAATTCATCCAAGTATGATCTTGGGCATCTGCGCAAGCATTATTCCCTTCCCGGATCACAATCAGGTAAGCTTTAAGTTCAATGAATTTATTCATTCAAGGCTAATTCTGTTGCTACAAAGTCTCCTCGTAACTGTTATCAATCTGCTATGGGTAAACAAGCTATGGGAGTTTTCCTCACTAACTTTGATGTTCGCATGGATACTATGGCCAATATCTTATACTATCCTCAAAAGCCTCTCGCCACTACACGTTCTATGGAGTTCCTAAAGTTCAGAGAACTGCCCGCAGGTCAAAACGCCATTGTTGCTATCATGTGCTACTCTGGCTACAATCAAGAAGATTCCGTTATTATGAACCAAAGTAGTATTGATCGTGGATTGTTCCGAAGTTTGTTCTATCGAGCCTACACCGATCAAGAAAAGCGTATTGGTATGAACGTTGTGGAACAATTCGAAAAGCCTTATAGATCCGATACTCTTAAGCTCAAGCAGGGTACATATGACAAACTTGACGATGATGGAATCGTGGCTCCTGGTGTTCGTGTCACTGGTGCGGATATCATTATCGGAAAGACTGCACCAATTGCTCCTGACTCTGAGGAAATGGGCCAGCGCACAAAAGCTCATGTCAAGCGTGATGCATCAACACCTCTTCGAAGCACCGAGAGTGGTCTTGTTGATCAAGTACTTATTACCACCAATGCCGAAGGTCTCCGATTCGTGAAGGTCAGAATGAGAACTACTAAAATTCCTCAAATTGGTGACAAATTTGCTTCGCGTCACGGACAGAAGGGTACTATCGGTATTACATATATGCAACAGGACATGCCGTTCACTAGAGAGGGTGTAGTTCCAGATCTTATCATCAATCCCCACGCTATTCCATCTCGTATGACAATCGCACATTTGATCGAGTGTCAATTGAGTAAGGTTTCTACTCTACGTGGACTTGAGGGTGATGCCACACCATTTACCGAAGTCACTGTCGATTCTGTCTCTAAGCTTCTCCGTGCACATGGTTACCATTCTCGTGGTTTTGAGATCATGTACCATGGTCACACTGGTCGTAAGATGATGGCCCAAGTCTTCCTTGGTCCCACATATTACCAACGTTTGCGTCACATGGTCGACGACAAGATTCATGCACGTGCCAGAGGTCCTGTACAAATTCTAACCAGACAACCCGTGGAAGGTCGTGCTAGAGATGGTGGTCTTCGTTTCGGAGAGATGGAACGTGATTGTATGATTTCTCACGGTGCCAGTGCTTTCTTGAAGGAGAGATTGTTTGAGGTTTCAGATGCTTTCAGAGTTCATATCTGTGATATCTGTGGACTCATGACACCAATTGCGTAAGTCTATGTGCCATCCAGAAAAAAAAGTTATGCTGACCTAATTATAGTAAAATCAATACCGGTTCCTTCGAGTGTCGTCCTTGCAAGAATAAGACAAAGATTTCCCAAATTCACATCCCGTACGCCGCTAAATTACTTTTCCAAGAGTTAGCAGCAATGAATATTGCCACAAGAATGTTCACAAAGAGATCTGGCATTACGGTGCGCTGATTTTGTACGATCTAATTACGACTGGATGGGGGTAGACTATGAATTTCGTGGCAGGGGAAA